TACGCTTACTTTGTGAAGCACTATTTTATGTAACAGATCCTTATTCCACTCTGGATGGATAACAACTGTGAATTATAATTTTATTTTCCACTTAGTGGAGCCTATTGACTTGGACTAGTTCTTGCCAGGGAACCGGTTTCGTAATAAAGGCAGTAAATTCTGATTTTGTGCTTGTTTGATAATTAATAGTGCAGTGTCAGCAGCAGTGCAAAATGCAAGTATGATTTTTTTTTCCCTCTGCAAGCTATAAAAGATGGGTTATAAATCAACGACTTTATGCTGAGCATCTAAGGCACATATCATTTACTAAAATGAGCTTAGCAGACTCAGTGGAGGTTCCGTTATGTTTGTGAAGGTATGTGTGCAGGGCTCTCCCGTTAACCCAGCATCCTTGTCCCCAAGCATAATTATACAGATACAGTTACACTGGCAACCATTTTTCCCCCCCAGTGGAGACACTCTTTATAGCAACACTGCTTTTCCCTTATTGCTAAGACAGTGCCAAAAATAGGTGTGTGGGGGTGTCAGTGTACATGCTAGTTATAAATATATATAATAATATATGTTTATTATAGATGGAAAAAAGAGGCACAGAAACGAAAATGCCATGTAAACTTGACACTATCGAGTTATTTTTCTTACCACCATCTTCCAGTATTTACCAAGGCCTAAAATAAAAACAATAGCCTTAGCCTTAACTAAGCTAGAGTCACAGCTCTAACAGATGGCTCTATCAGGCAAGCTTTTAGCGTAGAGCAGACCTGAGCACCTCACAGCTATTAACGATGCGGGGACCCTCACGACAACCCACTGAGATGAGCAAGTGAAATTCCCCCGTGTGCAAGCACAAAGCGGGGAGTGAAGTCTCAATCCAACCAAGTATGCGCGTGCCTCCGAGTACGCAAGACTACCTCCTTTGAAGTGACTTACAGCTGTAAATGCAGGATTAGGCCCAAGTGATTTACTGAGAAGTCAGAGGATGCTCACAGGCTCCACCATGGGCACTTATGCCTTCTGCTGCACAAAGGAACTCTTCCAAGGACACCTGTAGCAGGGTCAGGAGGTGAACCTAAGTGCCACTGTGTGACTTTCCCTCTAAGGTCAACTTCCAGCACAGATTCTGTAAACGGGACCTGTAAAATCAGCTCCATCACAAGCAAAAAGCCATGCTAGCCCAACCGTTCCACAGTCCCTAGGGCTTTCTGTACGTCTGGTTTCAGAATACTGGTGCCATTGCAACACATACAGTGCCTTTGCCATACAGTCATTTTTTCCCTGATTATTCAGAAAAGAAAAAAATAATTTGACAAATGGGAATTGCATGACCAATACTATGAATAACCAGCTGCCTTTCTTCAATGAAAATTCTATGACAAATTGGCATCTGTTGTTAAAGTGACAAATGCATCTTTCCCCTCTGTAGACCTTCCCACCTGTTTCTCCATGGATGATCACGCCATTTATGCGCTGCCAACAAACTGAAAGGTGCTTCACTTTCAGGGTGACTGGGCTTTGTCAAAAAATGAAGGTATTATTTATTAAACGAGAGAATCGCTTATCCTAGTGAATATTAGCGCAACGCAACCACAGATCTTGTATTAAGGCTTGTGTCACCTGCACATGTTGGCCCCCATCTCCCCCAGCTTAAGGCGCAGTAAAGCAGGGAGAGGATGACGCGTGGCCCCGCTGAAAGAGCCACGCAGAGATGTTTTGACTTTGCAGCATTTCTAATCCTTCGACCATTCTCCCAGCGTCTTCCACCTCCTGTCCCTTCTTGCTCAGCCCCGCCACCCCTGGCTTGCCGCTCCCCCTCCTCAGGAGCAGCAGTGACAGCAACAGCGCCCAGAAGGCTTCAGGTGTATTTTTCTCTCTGACTCTGCCCACAGTGTAAATCCACCCCACATGTCTGGGAATTATTTGTGCGGTTATAATCTCACCTCCCAGATCATCCAGGCAACCTGTCTGAAGCTCACTGACTTCCAAGGGCGTAAGACCCCCATGTGTTTTTTAAAATCTGCTGACATACGTAAGAAAGTCTGGGAAAGAAGTAGGTTAACAGAAGTCAGTGCACTATAAGGAGCTTTATTTCCTATAAACCACTAGCAATCAGGGCGGAGAGATGGGGGAGAGGAGAGAAAGAGAGAAGGGAGGGAGGGAGGGGCAGAGGGAGGCAGGCTTGGTGGCCTCCCTTTCTTATTTATTTTCATCTTTCAAAAAAGAAAAAACAAACACAAAACAAAAGAAGAAAATACTTAGAAGGCAAGGTTTCCATAGGAAAAAAATATTTTATTTTTTTAAGAACAAATTCAGTTTGAAACAGACGTGGAATGTGATTTTCATAATTTTCATTTTCTGGGAACTAATTGCAATGTGGAACTAAAGCAGACTTCAAACTCATGACCGGCTAGTTTTAAAACAGAACGAAACAAACAAACAAAAACCAAAACAAACAAACAAAAAAAAAAGAAGAAATTATTTATAACTCAAGCATAATACTGTGTTACTTACAAACTGGACAAAGAAATTCTTAAATAAATATTCATGGTACACAATTTCAGCACAAATATGCGGCAATTTGGCAACCTTTTATACCATTTTTTCCTCAATACAGTGCAAAGGGGAATGACACTGCCTTTAAACAAGCTGTAGCTAAATACATTGCAAAATTCAAATTTTATACAAAACATCTTGCTCGGACTTTATAAAAAACCAACATTGCTCTATATACACAATCTGGTTAAGAAAAGCCATTTTTGTCTTGTTTTCATGTGGGTTTTTTTTATTATTTAAAAAGGTGAATAAGGCTACTGTAACACCCCAAATCCATATACAGTAAATCTGAACCTATTTACAGCATCTTCACTTAGACATGATGGTGCAAATTCCAAGTCGGGTGACTAGGGATGATCATACAAGCAAGGCATTTACAGTAACTTTTCAAAGCTGGACCAACGTCAAATAAAGGAACAGTTGGTAGATTGTCATAATTCTGCACCAGACACAAAACAGACGCACAGTACATTTTTTTTTCAGTTGGTTGTAGGTTGCTCTTGAGTAATTTGTCTGATTTTTTTTTTCACAGTTTAGTACATAACTAGAATGTAGCCAACTGATGAACCATAGATTTGATTTAATAAAGATCAGTATCAGTAAACCCATCTTTTCCCTTCCTCCCCCTCCCCCAAAATAAAATCTTAATGACTTACAAGAGAACCTTGTATGGATGGATTCACAGAAAGGAAGGGTTGTTGAAAAGAATTACATATGTACTGTAGTTAGTCACCATGGTAACCTTCCACAGAACCATGGGTTGGGATTTTTTTTGTTTTGTTTCTCTCTTTTGGACCAACATCCCAACATCATTTTCAGGTTCAGGAAACAGAGAGAGTGATCGTTTCTATGACTTTTTTTTCTTTTTTCTTTTTTTTTTTTTCTTGCAGGTGCTCACCGGAGGTCTGAGAACCCCAAAATGCTGTTGCTACATTTTCTTTCTAAATCAGAAAGCAAAGTGTTACCATAGTAACATGACTATGTTAGAAATGTCTATTTGCATAGCACATATAAAAGTAGAGTTTTTTTATTTCCTCCCCAGGGTGGGAGCTTTAGGGGAATAGCCATGCTAAAGAGAAAACTTTAACCTGAAACCCCCCTCTACGAACCTCCATGAAATCTACAGAACACATCAGCCCGTAAGGCAAGGGAAAACACAACACAGAAAATAAATGCCGGCACACCTTGTAATTGTTCAATACATGATGCAGTAACATTGACTTCCTGATATTTTGGGCCTTATATTTCCTAGTTTTCTCTTATGAGATGCTTTGGTTTTATTTTTTAATATGCTCCCATTGTTATTTTTGGATGGCTGATGTTTTTCCCAGAAGCAGTTTCCTTTTTTAAAAAACAAAGTGTGTGTATATATGCACATATGTACACATATAAACATATATACGTGTGTATATACATATATACACACACACACACACATATATGTAAAATGGTGACAAGTTAAGACTATTTAATTGCCACAAATGAATTTCACATCTTCTGGTGTAGATTCTGTGCAATCTCAAAATATATATTAGTAAAAAAAGCAAACAAAAACAAAAAAGTAAGAAAGAACTTACAAAAGAAAAACTCTCACTTTATATCCCTTGTGTTCTATACACCTATTATAAATAAGACATATCTTCCCTCTCCATCTCAGTGTCATAATTTATTTTATTCTTACGGACTGCAAGAGGTTTGCCATATGTGCTTTAACTTTGCAACAGAGCACCAATGAACGGCTGTGTCAGTCACAGTACCTACACTCACTGTGCAGGGACAGCACTGCAATAAACCAAAGTGTCAAAAGGCTCAGTCAGAAAGAAATGCCGTCTTACTTTTAGAGGTGAGAAAGGTGGTTTGTTGTCGGGTTTGTTTTTTTTTTTTTCACAACTTTACCAGTGATAGAGTTACAGCTCATTTGACCCGTTGGCTTATAATCATCTTGGTCAGATTTGGCTCTCTGGTGTTTTCTTAAATGCTTTCCCTGTGTTTAGTATAATGTGATAGTATAGCAGCTGAGTCTGCTTAAAAGTCATCCAAAGCAGACTACGTTTTCGCTACAGCTTCAAAGCTGTATATTTTATTGCCAGTACCACAACAGCCCTGCCCTAATATATCCTCAGCGGCCTGCTATTGTCTCGTCCTCTCCAAGCTTGTTCACTTACTAACAATACCCCTTTGTTCTACTGTATTGAAGGTACTATTTTTTCTGCACACTGGTATTTGATAACCATGAATTCCTTCAAATGCAGCCCTAATCCACTGCGCGTGTTATTGTGCCTCCTACTTGCCTCTTAAAACTTAGCATACCAAAGTGCTGTGCTACCTAAACGTTTGTTTTTTTTTTTTTTTTTTTTTTTTTTCCCGCTTTCATTTTTTAAGGAGGAGGTTTTAAAACTTAGCATACCAAAGTGCTGTGCTACCTAAACGTTTTGTTTTTTTTTTTTTTTCTTTTTTCTTCCCAGCTTCTATTTTTGAGGCAGCAGTATTCAATTGCAACTGCAGTCAGCCCTTCCCTCCACCACCCAGTCCTGCTCTTGACTTTGTTGACAGCCTAACTTTTTGGCTGGAAGGCTCCTTACTATCAAACACAATTTCTATAAATGCATTACCCATTCGAGTGAGGCTGCTGTAGCAGATGGATGGAGCGCGGCTCTCCAAACATTAATGTTCCATTAGTGATTCAGGAGGTGGAGTGAAAGGAAATCTCATGTGAAGGATGGCAGAGCCCCGGATAACAGAAACAAATGGAACAGTGACGGACTAAAAGCAAGAGAACTTTAACAAGTCTTACTTAGACACCAAGGTCTGTGTGACAAATCCAGTACGCACTGAGAGAGACACACAAAAGTCAGAAGATTGCATTTCAAGCTTGACATATCCTAGAGCACCTTCCCAGGATGCCTAGAGCTATTAACATCCACGGATCACTCCATCTTCCCTTGGCTTTCTTATGTGCCTGAACGCCCGCAGCACATGGCTTTGAGGATGATGAATGTAACAAGAGTACAGCAATCAGAATGGGCATCTTCTACATAAAAGTCTTCCAGCTTTTAGTGAATACTTATTCACCGAGATAGGAATTCTACAGACTAGGTAAGCTGTCCAGCTTGCATCGGCTCCCGGAGAAAGAGCTGTCGCCTTCTCCGCCCCTGTGCTTGAGTCAATGCTAGTGCACAAGGTGTCATCACAAACCCCAACAGAAAGCATTTGACCAGTGAGTTTCCTCTATGACTCAACTGTACCACAGAGTTGGTTGTGTGTTTCTCAGACCTTGTAATAAATGTTTGCTGGACTCTGAGGAGGCATCTCTTGAACTATGTACACCGGATGTCCATAGTCGCCGCTGACCTTTTCATAGTGGGGGCAAAAGACACTGTCTGCAGTCCTTAGAGGAATGATAATGTCACTGGGCTCAGAACCATTGTTGTTGCCACTGCGTTTTGGGGTGGCTAACGTACTAAGTGAGAGAGTTGTCGTGTGTTGCGGGGAATGCTTCCTGTGTCTTCTCCGGTACTTCAACAAAAGAACCACCAAAGTGATGATGATGACGATGAAAATGATGCACCCTGATGCAATCCCTGCAAATAAGGCCACCTCTGAACCCAGTATACTGGAATGCCCAGCCTTACTGCCATCTGTGCTAGATCCTGGAAAGAACGGAAATACAACAGACAAAAGTTATTGCCATCCTGTGACCCGTTTATGCTGCTTTAAAATGTGTAGAGTAAGCAAGACTGGAAGAATTAACTGACAGCTAAACTTTGACAAACCAATTACCCTGTTAGATAGCTAAATGCAAACAGCCGAAGTCAGCAATCAATATTAAACAAGACTTTGTGTCTGTTGGTCTCACTTTTGTGCTGCTTCCAAACCACCCTGTTTCATACATCATCATCCATCACGCAGCGAGGACTGGCACTGACAAGGCAGCCTTTGATGCACACCGCATCTTTTAACAGATGCTGGCCAGCCCCGGGCAGCAGAGAGGGGTGGGATAGGACTGCGAGGGGAAAATAACACAGGGAAATGACAATTCTCAGGACAACTGGTACTGTTCAGTGTCACACCATTCTTCTGCTATTTTATCTTTCGCATATTGATTTAAGTTTAACCGTCCTTAGTGCCTCTTTACGTGGACTCCTCTGGCTCGCACATGAAGCAAAGGAGCTTGAAGCAGTGTGGGAGATAGGCAAAACAGCTATGCCATATATCTGTTTGTATTAACTTATATTTACTTAAAACAACACCACACATTTAGTAGTCGGAAAAAGCTCACGTGCTGAACAGCCTATTGAATATTTGGTGCCATCACACTATCATATTATTTGTCACAAAAATTAAATGAACGCTTGCTTGACACTTTCTCACTTGAAAATTTGAACTGACTTCCTTCTCTTGATGCTGACTCACAGGTGGAAGAATGCTGCAGATGCCACGTCCACGTAACTGAATTTTTCCTACTGGAACCTCCGTAGGAAACGGCTGAAGCCTGCCCAGTGACCACCATATCAAAGATTCATTAGCCCAGTAACTAATGACAGAGCTAGCAAGGAAAACTTGTAGCCATTTTTGGGAACCCCAGAATCAACTGTCAGCAAATTCTGCTTTGCAGCATTCCCAATTCACCAAATTTTTTTCTTCTGGAGACCTTGGGTCTTAAGAGTTAGTTTTTTTCTTGTTCACCTAATGTCTGAAATGCATCCTGAAGATATTTGTTTGGAACCATCTGTTTATCTTGTTTAGATAATTATTTAAAAAAAAAACCCAAAAAACACAAACTTTAAATTTAGTGAAAGACCAGCCATTCATGTGTAGATTTTATATGGTCAGTTAAAAGATCAGGACATTAATTATAGATGCCTTGAAATAAACCTTATAAATGGCTGTCGAGAACCACTTGATAATGTATTATACGGGAAGAGAAAGACAGAAAGACTCGCTCATCTGCCAGAGTACTAAAAGTAAGGCAGCATTTACCATCGTAAAGCTCCTTAGCAAATGTTCTATCCAAAAACTTTCCTGTAAATGAGTGATATTCTCACAAGATGTAATTAACTTCTACTGCAGAGTGGAAGAGGGGAGAGAGCAGCCGTTGCCAAAACTCGCAGCTCCCAGACACTATCCACCAGAGCATCGGAACTGGCTTTTGCTTCATCTCAGTATGAAAACATTTGTTCTTCTGGCGCTTTAATGGTAAAATAAAATGCGTTTGGGGACAAAGGAGGAGACTCCGCCAGAGCCCTGTCCCAGGCACGAGTCCCACCGCACCTACCTGAGTGGTCCTTCACAAACGGGCTGGTGGTGGAACTCTTCCCATTGGTACCAGCCTCCTGCTCGGGGCGCTTGGTGGGATCCGTGTGCCGGGGCAGCCCCGCCGAGTTGGGATCTGGGGGAGAGAAGAACAACTCATGCAGCTTCGGTGCTTGATGGTATGGAGCCTTGTAAGCCGGCTCTAGGTACCTCGTGAGACATGAATGGCTTTGAACAGAAGAATCTTTATGCAAAGGTCTGGGAGATACAAGTACGTAATTTTCCTTTTAAAGCAAAATGGTTATATTAGTTATTTCAGAGGTTTAAATTGTGAGGCCATCTGCAGAAACTATAGGGACTCCTGTAATTGGCAAGAAAAGCTTTGCAGATGACATTTCAGTTTAACTGAAGAAGTTGATTGACTACTAAACCAACTTCCACTTAGAAGAATAATTCTTTCTTCCTGCACAATAAGTTATCTATATGTGAGAAGAGACAATGAACAAAAACCTCTCTGTAATCAGAATTCGTAACAAGCAAACTATAGAAATATTAGCTTCCCTCCTTTCATGTATTTTAAATAATTTTGAACAGCAGAGTTGTGGCTTTTGTTTTTAAAATAAAAATAAAAATGACTGAAACACACTACTCCCAGGTGCCCTTTCCTTCTAGGGATCTCTCCAATGAAGAGATCTTATTACGCTAACCCTCCTCCTGTAGAAATCTGTCAGTAGCCGAGGAAGAGAAAATAGGCTTTGCTTTCAGACTATAGGGGAGGAATGACCACACTAGACTCGGTTGGCTCTCTGCTCTACACCGCTAAAAGAAGCCTGAAAACTAAAAGGACACCGAGACTGATCAAAGTGATTTCATGAAACAGCAGATGGTCTTTACCTTGTCCAACTTTCATGAGGATCTTCATGGTTTTTGTCTGGCACACCCCTCCCTCCTGGTTATCCAGGCCCTCCAAAGACCCATTTGATGTTGCTGATTAAAAATAAAAGAAAAATAAAAAAATAAAAATAAATAAAAATCAGGAAATCAACAGGCAAAGTGATGTGAACATGAGTGTCTGAAAGCAGAAATCTTTCAATCTACCAGGGCCTGTTCTTGTTGCTCAGGCTGACCTATGGAAAGTTGTGAAATGTTGAAAGCCAAAGGAATGAATACATTGGTAAGCCATACAATATATACAAATGGAGGAATGCGTTATCAAGGTTTCAAATTTACCCAGCAACCTTTTTTTCTATGCACAATTGACTGACTGACTGACTTGGATGAAAACACAGCACCTTGCTAAAAAGTGATGGAGTCAGCTGAAAAGGAAGCCCTGGCAGGCTCAGAGGAGCAAAGCACTGAAAATTCACCCTTTTTCTCCCCCCCAACAATATCTTTATAATCACCATGTTACACCTGCTTCCTCTATTACAAATCTCCTGCTGGAAGAAGTGAACGCGCACAAAAGACCCAGGTGAAAGCTGAGATTCTGCACTGATTGGAAAACCATTTAATATTTTAAAGTACAATCTCACTTTTCTCAGCATTGAGGAGCCTCCACAGGGGCGGGTGGCGGGGGGGAATACGCTCTATTCTCACGGAAACCTTTTCGCTCGTACAAACAAATGGGTGCTTTCCCCTGCATTTATATTGTTCTCGCTTATCTAGGCGCTGGCTGGAACCGCACAACCCTGCCGCAAGCTGATGCTGCAATGAGATTTGTGCACAAGGCACAACTCCCTTGGAGAATCCAAAATGTTGAGTCACGGTCTAGGGGTGCGCCGCCGCTGCCGCCCGAGCCAGCTGTTGGTTGCCAACCCTAGGGGTACGCCGCCGCTGCCGCCCGAGCCAGCTGTTGGTTGCCAACCCCCAACAGCTGCTGGAAAACTATTCGGCATCTCCTCAGCCCTGGGCATCGCCCCCACTCTGCACCACGCCACGCCAGGCACCCGCCACGTCGGCGCGTGTGCTGGTGCCCCGACCATGACGGCAAAGCAGGCACGTCCACCAGCGGTGGACTTTGGCTTCGCTATTTAGGAAACGCACGAGGGGTTTTCCCACCCCAGTTGTCCCGGGGGTGCAAATTTCACCATCGTTTCTTGGAGCTGTTTATCCAAGGCCCAAAACGCACGTACGAGTGGGTGCACGCACACACACCGGCACCGGGCCACCAGCTGGAGAAAACAAATAGAAAATGGGAGATAACGGAGCTCGCTGCTTGCCGTGGCTGTGGTAAACTGCTTAAGCAGCACTTTCCTGCCTCTGCCCCTCTCCTTTCAGCTCAGGATCTAATTCAACCTGGGCTTCATACTGTTCAGATCTTTGTTTTTAATTCTCGCTCCTTCTCTTTCGCCTTCCTTGGGGGTTTTCTTTCAAATGCAGCCTATGTATATTTCCTTTTTCCTTCACAATGTCTTCCCAGCCCCATGGCAGTATTTTTCTTGCTCTAATCTTCTCTCTAGCCGTAAAGATATAAACCCCATACCGCTGAACTCTGTTTCCTAGCCTTTGATCTACTTCTTGTTTTTGTTCCACTTCTGCCTCTTTTGTGACTAACTCAAATTACAGCCACCATACAAACTTCCCAAATTGTGCTTGCTTTTCCTAAAATTCCCTTCTCCTCATACGTGGTCCCTCCCAGTTCCTCCTCTTGTTCCCTCCCCCCTGTAAAAACATGACAATGGCCGTATGTGCAACTACTTCTTTTTTACCCAACTTGCAAAAAAGACTTTTTAAAATATAAAAGAGCACAATGAGTAATTTAAGATAAAAGCCGATCTGAAATGTGCCACTGAATTGCCAAGCTCAGAAAATAATGGAGACATATAGTTTTGTTTTCTTTTGTTTTTTTCCAGAGGGAAAAAAAATCAATACTAAGAACCAGTTCTGGACATAAATCAAATGTGTCTTTGCTGAAAGTGTTTTTTATGACCTATTTGCCAATGTACCAGCACAAGGACAAGGGGAAAAAAAAACAGTAAATAGAAATACCAAAGCTGAGCATCAACTGAAAGTACAACTAATAAACACTGACTTCGTCTTGCTATTCTTTGTCTTGGCTTGTGCTATTCTTCGTTTGTTTTTTAATCGAGGCGATGGGGGCTCACATCTCCTTAAACACCTTCTACTTGATTTTAATTGAATAGAGTGCTGCTTCTTCTGCACATCAATGCCTTTTTATTCTTTGAAGGCCTATCCATTTAACCCACAGAGCAGGAGACCTCAATAAGATGCAGAGGATGCAGTCTGACCTCAGTACAGAATAAGAAAGTAAGACGGCAAAAAGAACGCAAGATTACTTCAAATACAGTCTCCAAACGGGAAGGCCCAGATGTACAATGAGTCTGGTTGTGTGCCTACGCGAGCGCAATCTGCCTCGCTTGCTTGCTAAAAGAATGCTTTCATAGCTTTGATGTCAGATGAATGAATTTGCAGAAGTATTCACTTTTTCCACAGTTCTTCAAGGGGTTTTTGGAAAGCCTACATTATAGCTCAGAGTATAGACTGCTACGTCCCGAGGAACAGGGAATTTTCAAAGAGGAGCATTTCAGTGACAAAGCAAAGTTTCCATCTCAGCTTCTCCCTGTAATTAAACCGATGATTACCCAAGGCCACTGGAGGAAATTATTTTTCAAAATTCATTAAGACTATCGAAATACAACCTCACACATCCCTAGTGTACCAGGAAAAAAGTGGGTAGTTTTAAACACATCGTTTCAAGCTTTGAAAAGCTGCACGGAGAAAAAGAAGTAATCTGGGACATCAGAGAAAACACAGTTTCATACTGCTAATGCCCTTTGACAGTTTAGTGTGCAGACGTCAAACAAGGGAGCAAGTACAAAATATTCCTCAAACGCTTGCCGCTGCCTTTCTATACGGCTCTCCAAATGAAAATTGTACCCGCTATCATGTATGCTCCTCCACCCCACTCACACTTCTGCAGGAAAGTGACCCTGTACCAGGAGCTCTGCTCACGCTGAAAGGATGTTTCAAAAAAAAAAAAGTGTCTGTGATAGGAGTTTTGGGTATAAACACAGAAACACAACACAAGTTTCTTGTGTCTAAAACGGAAATGCTACTCTCCGGTGTGTTTATATGATTAAGTTTTAGGCCTTCCATCCAGTTTATTTTTATGTACATACATATAAAAAAGAACAGGTTTGTGGGTTTTTTTATATTTAGGTCTAAAGATGGATATATTTTAGAAGCAATTACTCACGCATGAACTACCCTACATGGCCCTGTGCTAAGACGACTAGATACTACTTAAATGTTAACATTAATAAACACAATTAATGATTAATGTGAAGTTTCTCATTAGTATTAAATACTCTCAGGATCCCACACTTCACTTTGTATTAATACAGTAACACGCAGGAAACCAAAAGTACGTACAATGTTGTTGAACAGGTAGCAGAATGTTTTTAAACCTTTTGATGGATAGGTACCTCTGATTTTCTGAGACCTGGCCTGTTCCAATGGTGTCAATTGCAAAACTAAAAATTACAGTCAAAAGCACACTAAATTATTCAGTCAACAGTTTATCCACACCTACCAATAAACACATATAATTGTCCTAAAATCTCTATTAATTTTAAGACTTTCTGACAAAATCGTAGTAATTTATAGGCAATGTTTACAGCAGTCAGTCTAAAACGATGTTTGAGCTCCGTATACACAGACACTGTGTGTCTGCATTCCTTGAATACAACAGCAGCTGCCATTTTATAAGGAATATAAGTTTGGGTTTTCAACTTTCAGAAAAAAATGACTCGTTATGAAATTGTGGTTAAGAGTCTGCTGATACATACTTACTTTGCAGAAGATAGTATACATTTTCAGTTTTGTAAAACACTGCCTTAACATATCCTCTCGCTTACACAAGAGGAAATGAAATTATTCAGACCAAAGATTTCATTCCAGCTCTGCCTTCCCCTCTTCGAAATATATAAATTATTAAAAAACAAAACAAAACAAAACAAAACCAAAAACCAAAACACCTGGAACTCATGTAAATAAGTATATGATGGTTTACATTTATTTGCTTTTAAAACTGCACAACTTGTTTATTGTGCGATATGCATTAGTCATAAATGCAGAGGCAGGGAATCAGTGAGCAAAACAGAGTCAGCTGACAAGAATAGTTCCTGGCTATGATTCTTATACAGTCCCCATGGAGAGGAAGTAATATTACATTTTAATATGTCTTCATTTGGTTGTTATTACGCTGCCTCCCAGGAGGAGGCTAAGCCACTGCATGGATCTTGGCTGTTTTCAACCTATCAGGTTGGTAACATTGTTCTCATCAGATGGAGAATTAAGCTGCTGGATTTGTGCCTGTATATAGCTTTTCATTCACAAAGAGATTAGAAATGAAGGCACAGTCACAAAAATTCAACTTCCTTCACTCCTAAAAACGCACATTACAAAATGAAAAAATGCCATCACAATTACTTAAAACAAAACACCAGCAGACAAAAATCTCAGCCTCTTAATTCTGCCACAATTATTACCCATACTTTTATGTTTTAGGATTAAGAAAAACATTACCTACTTGCAAATTACATGTCATATCCTTTGAACCAACACTTTATAACACATTTATTTCTAGAGCTTGAATATGAAATGGACTACATAGCTGAAGAGAGAAATTATGATCGTCATACTTAATTTTCCTGTGAAAACTAAATGGACCCTAAACCACAGACTATAGGAATGAATGAGTGATGTCAACTGATGGGCAAGGGCAAAATTGGTTTTGTACCCCCTTAGTGTGCTGGATGATACAAGCCATTTGGCAATGTATCAAAGACACATCTTTGACGAGGTCATCAAGAATTAATTGCTGCTGGTGTGGATCTGTTAACAGAAAAATGAGAATTACAGATTTCTTTGGGGTAGATCAGTACTGTCCAATAGTAGGGATTTACACCATTTTTTCCTTAAACGCTGCTTGAATTCAGCATCAGAAAATAGGTTTCTCAAAATCA